GTGGTGGTAGTAGTAGTAGTAGTCGTCGTCGTAGTAGTAGTAGTAGTAGTAGTAGCGGTGGTAGTAGTAACTCCCTCTCCCTCTCCCTCTCCCTCTCCCTCTCCCTCTCCCTCTCCCTCTCTCCCTCCCTCTCTCTCTCCTCGCGCTCGTGCCCCCACAACGAGAGGTGAGTCCAGATTTCGACTGGGCGGAGTCATTGCAAGGGGCCAAGCTCCACATTAGCTCCTCGACAGCACGGGGAAAATAGTTTTCTTCATGCACCAGCCCCGGTGAGCTGCAGAGGAAGCTATCCATCGGGCGAGCATTGCGAGCAGCGAGAGAGGTGAGTTGATACAGTACCAGTAGTGAACGAATATTGGATTCAGTCCTCCGACATGCATGCAGCCGGTGTACTTCGCTACAAACCACACAAGTCGAGGTGTGCCATAACGATCCCGCTCCTCACGGTTCCTGGGTGCGTGTGAGTCTTTGTGTTTGTGTGTGTTTCCCTGGCATATCTTGCGATGTCTGATACTTACAGGCTCATAGGCTCCTGGCTGCGGACCCAGGCAAGCCAGAGAGAGAGAGAGAGACCGCATCGCAACGGGCTCTTTCAGTTTTGATTTTCGGGACCCTGCCACCATATGGCGTCAGCCGGGTGAGCACCGGGCGGGTTGGGGGGCCTGCCCCGACTAAAATCCCCTCGCATAGAAGAAGACGCAGAGAAAGCCAGACAGAGAGAGGGATAGCAAGGTAAAGCCCAACGCATGTCTGTGTCTGTGTCTGTGTGTGTGTGTGTGTGTTTGCAACTCATCAGTGGATTTCTGTGGGTTCCGAAGCGCTTGAGGCCAAGAGGGGGAGGTGTCCTTGGAAGCGCCGAGATGCAAAGAGGAATTGGGCATCCGCCTTTCAGAGAGCGAATGGAGCCCGGCTCTCAGCTCTGGAGGCTCCAGAATAATGTTGGAGCCTTTGGGCTTCAAGGTTCGGAGGCTTTAGGCTCGGCTTTGGGCACGGGATTCTTGTCTCTGTAGCCTCGACTTGAGGTCAGCTTCTATGCCTTGCACCCCCCAAGCAGGGCTTAGCCAAGCTGAAGATCTGCGGCCGTGTGGATGCTGTTCTGCAGCTTCACCGGACAAGCAGCCCGGCAGCTCAAGGAAGCATAAGAATAATAACAATACTAGGGCCATAATAGTAACAATAGTAATAATAGTAATAATGATATCATTGTGCTTGCATGAAAGTCTATGAGATGAGCCCAGTTTCCGGGCCTGACGTCATCTAACACTGACACCGGAAACACCGGCGGAGAGAGCGCGCAGGAGTAGCGCCGCAGTGTCTCTCAACCTCGTTCTTGACCATATGTATGCTTGTCATTTGGACTGCGATATCTTACCCCGAGAAATAGGCGCCCTAACAACGAGGGTGAGGTCTTGTCTCGACGAAGAGAGTGACGAAAACTGAGAGATGTACTTTGCCGACAGTCTCTGAGCGATTTTGCTTGGTATGTTGAGGCAAGATTCTGTCTGCTGCTGATTCTGCGGCGCGGATTACCCAAGAGGAGCTCAGTCGGCAACAAGATGCCGGCAACAAGGCGAAGAGAGGCACCAAGCTCTTGCTTGTGACGTTGGCTTGCCTTTGCCAAGTCCGGGCTTCCCTACCTGGCAGTGTGGTGCGTTTGGAGTCATTCCAGTCAGCCAGAAACGACGACCTGCATCTGACTCGTCGTAGTAGAGGATGTCAAATTGTAGACATCTTCTGGAGCACCACCCCCTAAACCACATGCAGTGGCAGTTGTGCTCCAAGGATCATTTGGCACATGTCGTGTCTTGCCTGCCAGGACAGCGCAAAGCCGAGGCGCGTTGTAACTTTCCATTCATTGCGACCCCAGATTACATGAGAACTCCTTGTACCTCTTCAGGCATGGCTCCATAAAAACTTCCATAAAAGAGCGATGCGCCTGCCACTGGTAGTCTCGGCTTGCAGGCAAAACGGCGTGCAGACACTCGCAGTCGCTGCCAGCTGCCGTCCTTATCGGATGCGCTGTGCGGAGTGGCGCGGCTGCAAAACATTCCGTACCAGATGGGAGTTTTTTTGCAGACGTAGAGTTGCTAACTACCGTTACTACCACTACTACGACGACGACTACTACTATCTGGTGACGAATGTATCAGTATTACGAAGGTTGCTGCAAGCCGAAAGGTGCGGCATTGATGGATTCCGGGACTCGTCATACGTGAGCCGAGCACACGCGCAGAGTCTTGGAGCCACGTGCTCCAGTAGCTGAGGTCGCTTGGGACTTTGGGCGAGAGCTGGAGCCCATCTACAGAGAGGAGTTGAGTCAATGGGCCACTTCCCACCATTCCTAACTACCCAACCCCCCGCTGATCAGGACGCCTGGGATGGCACTGGCCACGCACCAGAGGTGGTCAGGCGAGAATCCACAGGGAGCAAGGGCATCCCCGCCGAGATGTTGGGCTTGAAGCTCAAGATGAAGGTGGGGAGAGGGGACCCTGTGTGGTGGTTTGGGCTCCTTTAAAACAAAGACATACCCCTATCTTCGTTGAGGTCGTTGAACTGGAGGCCGGCCAAAGCCTGAAAGTTGCCTTCTGGAGCATGGGCAACTTTTGCTTGGATGGCCTGGAGTCGGTGACGTTTACCAGCTACCAACTCGAACGTCCAGGTGCAAAGGGCAAGACGAGGCTCCAGCTGACCGGCAAGGCTTCGGATTCACCGGGCCTCCACGTTTTGGGACATCCGGCGAAGGTCTTCCCGCCCTTCGATGACCTGACTTTGATTGCCGTGCACCTGCCGGAATCCCGGGAGCTTCAGATCTGTCCTTGCGCGCTCTTCAACATTGAGATCGACCGCCAGGGAAAGGGCTACTCAGACCCGAATGATCCGGTAAACCTCAACAGAGAGGAGGCGCCGGTTCCGGAAGAGGACACGGGCCCAATGACGGCCAAGCAGTACCGGGACAAGCGCAAGCTGGCGATTGAAAGCTTTGGTACGGCGAAGAAGATGAGAAGCTTCGGCCAAGTTGCTGAGCGTTTGGACAGGGACCTGGAAGTGGCAAACCTGGAGCAGTACACAGGGAGCATCAGTGCAAGAGTAGAGGAGCAACTGAAGCTAAAGCAAACTGCCGAAGAGAAGGACGAAGAGACAAAACGGGAGGTGCTGCCACCGTTCATCCGCTCGGACGACCCCCAGAAGATCTACGTGGAGCCTTGAGAAAGTAACAGCTCTCCTCTTCAGTTTCCCTTGACAAGCAGAAGTGAAAGTCTAAAGCTGAATCCCCAAACCAACAACTGCTTTCAGTTAGAGCCCACCCTAAACCCTAAACCCTAAACCCTAAACCCTGCTTGTCGTTCTGGTACTTGGATCCTCGCCTGCTTGACTAGTTGTGAGTGCTGAAACCCTAAACCCTAAACCCTAAACCCTAAACCCTAAACTCCCAAGTTTTGAATTCACCACCAGCTGCCAGGACGGCTTGCAGAGCATCGTGTCTGATGAGGCCCTGGAAAACGAAGAAAGCCTGCCAGCTGAAGGCCACTTCTCAGACTCTACCTGAATTTGTCTATCATGAGCTTGTTAATTATGAACACATTCAGTTGCAGTCTGCGGAACTTGCGGCTTTCGGAGGCAGAGCTGGGTTGTTGAAGGTATCTGAAGCTGTTGATGCCTGGCTAGGCTTGAACCTCAAGGCCAGAGCGTGTCAGAGAATTCCCAGACGCGGAGTGAAACAGCAGCATAGCTTCATGAGACGCGGGTTTCAGCATGTTTCAGCGAATTCGGTAGGTTTCCATAGTGGGCCGGCTAGAAACGAGACGTGTTTGCCGATGACGCAAACGACCTTCATCCCGGGCCATGTCGGTCCTGACGGGGCGGCAGTGGGTCCCAAGACACTTGGAGCATCTGCTGAGCCTCCATGCACCGCTACCGAAGATCGAGAGGAGGAAGACTTGGAGCACGCGGGCATGATCGCCAAGCAGCCGGGAACCGTGGAAGACACGGAGCCTCGCTCCTTTTGGATCGCTTGTGGTGTCCTTGTGCACTTGGCATGGGGCACCTATCCCGTCTTCGCTCGCTACATGCAGGTGATGTTGCACATGGATGGCTTGCTCGTGCTCATTGTGGCAAACTTGGTGTCTTTCGTTGTCGTCCAGACCGTCACCTGCCATGGCTTGGGGGATAAGGCCGGGAGGAAGGTTGGGATGATGTATGCCATGCTCATAACTGGCCGAGGAGTTACAAATATGTTAACCAGCAAGTTCACGATTGCGTTGTACACGGGCATCGTGACCCAGTTCGCCCCCTTCATAGTGGCAGGGGTCTCCTGGGTGGCCTTGGGAGACCAACTCCCGCGCTGCATCCTGCCATCGCTCATCATCTCAACCCTGGGTTCGCTATTCGTCGTGCTGGGCCAGGCTGATGCGGGTGTTTCGGTTTTCTCCGTCAATGATGGCATCGGGATTGGAATGGCAGTCGTCTCCATCTGCGTGAGTGCCGGGATCCGTGTGACGATGAAGGTGTCAAGCTCGTCGCTCTCTGGTTTCATGCTGAATTCCTGGCAGTACATGAGTGCTGTTCCACAGGTGCTGTTGGCGACAGTCCTAACACCTCCAGCAGCCTGGGTGGAGACGATGCATTTCTCATCGCATCAGCTGGCGGTGCTTGGTGCTTTCATCCTGGTGCTGCCGCTGGCCGCGAGCTACGGGCAGGTTACTTGTGTTCGCAAACTTGGGCCTTCTCTGGATGCTTCCATTCAGCCAGTGCGACTGCTCTCGACGATTGCTGGAGGCTATCTGGTGTTAGATGAGCCAGTGAAGACAGCCACTGCCTGGCTAGGACTAGCAATCATTGTGATCACCCTCGTCGTGTACTTGGCACTGCAAAACAAGCCAGCGGCAGCACCAACTGGATCCACTCCACAGGCCAGTGCGAAATGAAGCATGGAAGCATCACATTTTAAGCGCCTGATTTCAGTCTCTGCTCCCCAAGCAGTTTTCCATCAGAGCATCAGCCATGCGATGCACAGTGGTTTCTACGTGAGCAGTGCAGATTTGCGAGTCCAGCATAGCATCGTCCGATGATGTTGGGTTAACCAACAGCTCGAAGAGTCACATGCGTGTACAGTGTACAGCCTCCTTTCAGAACTCAAGCGCTGAAGAGCGCGCACTACCTGCCACTTACAACATGAGATGCGGCACTTGTGCATGCTGTCACTGTCACCTGCGGTTGGTAGTTCTGCAGCTTGCTGTAGGATGCTAAAGTACCACGATTATCGTTTACAACGTCTGACAGCAGGTCTGTGTGCCTGTTTAGGTTGTGCCATGATACACTACAGTTCGCTGTCGCATCATGCTTGCATGCAGGTTTCAGGGCTGGGCCCAGGGCTTAAACCATTCTGGATCGGGATCCTGCTTCCTGCTGTTGGGGTTTAGCCTAGGTTCCCCCAAACCCCATTGAAGTTAGGGTCCAGGATCGAGCAGGACAGGATCTTTACACTGTCCAGGCAAACGAAGGAGATGAAACCCTACCAGCGCACGTAGATGGCCACGAGATGTTCTCCGACCCGAAAATCACCGAGGAACTCCCTCCGACGCCCTAGTCACAGTCCAACATAGGCTTCACCCCTTCAAAGCGCGAAAACGCCTAAAGCCTAAACCCCGAATCCCGACCTAAAGCCACATGCCTCGCCTGGATTGTCCGCGTGTGAGTGTCGAAACCCTAGACCCTAAACCCAAAACCCTCAAACCCTAAACCCATACTAAACCCAATGCTGCTCAGGCGTATTGGGCCTTGTGGCCTCCAAAAAAGTCAACGACGTGGTGGCACTCGGGGAAAAGAAGGCCAGGCTCGGGCTCTGATGGCTCGAAGCCTTTGGTACAATACAGTACACACACACACACATATATATATATATATGTATATCTATATATGACATGTATATAATATATGCATATGTACCTACATATGTGCATATATATATATACACAAAAAATGGTAAAATTGGTATATGGTATGTAGTATGTGTCAGAACTGCATTACGCATCAAATTCCATCTTCCAGTGTATTGTGGCATGCAGTAGTGCTTCAGTTGGTTGCCTTGTTGTTTTCTCAGGTGTTAGTATTGTACTCATACATGTTCGATGGCAGGAGTCGGGACACTGAAGCACTTGCTCAGGGACGGAGGTTCACATAGGAAGTTGGTGCGAAGCCTTGCTTGTTTTCTAGTTTCAAGTGTCAAGCCCTCTGGTTTCAGGCCGGATGTCTTTCAGCCTAATCATACACCAACATGAACCGTGGCAGACTTGTCTTCATGTGAGGGCGTGTAACCAGAACCCGTTCGGGCTGCAAAAACCCTAGGTTCTAAGTATAGACACACAGATGCTCTTAAGACTCGAGTGCCAGGGGAAGGAGATCTGCGGATCTGCGTTGGCTTTCGCCGTGCTCAAAGCCCGTCATACGCAGGGGGCCGGCCCCGCGGAGAACCCGTAACATGGCCTGGCCAAGGGTTTACTGTATATAAGAATAAAAGTCGTTATTATACTAGTAGTAATAACAATAAATAGATACAGAAATAAAGAAGCATGTGTATATATATATATATACATAGCTATGTATGTATATATATATATATATGTATATGTATATCTGTATGTACGTATATCTATATATGTATGTATATCTATATATGCATGTATATACATATATGTATGTATGTATGTATGTATGTATGTATGTATGTATGTAAAGGTATATGTATATGTATATATATATATATGTGTGTGTATGTATGTTTCTATGTGTATGTATATATGTATATAGGTTAGGGATCTGAGGCTTAGTCTTCGGACCTCGTTTCTCATGGAGGTGTTCCTGCGCACTTTGTGCTTGCTGCAGTTTCGAGTCTTCTAGACTTCAGCTAAATACCAGAACAGTTTAGGGTTTAGGGTTTAGGTTTTTGGGGCCGGACTCATGAACCCTGAACCCTAAACCCGAAACTCAAGCCCTCATGCAAGCCCCCACGCACGAAGATCCCCAAAGCTCGGAATAAAAGAACTACATCCCCCAACCCAGACGCTGAAGCCTATGCTTTTGTTTTCTGAACCCAATCTTGTGGGGGCGGGGCTACTTAGATGGAGATTGGGACTAGGAAGTAACAGTTTAGGGTTTAAGGTTCAGTGGCCTTTTTGGAGCCATCCCACGACTTACAACCTACTTATCAAGACACCAACTTTGACCTAAACCCTAAACCTAAACTCAACACCTAAAGCCAAACGCCGAAACCCTAGACCCTAACATTGAAGCCTAATAGCCTAAACCCAGAACTAAACCCGACAACCTGAATCTGACACCCTGATGCCTCAGCTCGCATCCTCAGACTTGCCGATGGCCACCATGTCTCTAAGAAAGGTGACCCATTCCACCTGCTGGGCGGATGGAGGGTGTGGGTGTTCGGGTTTTGGGATTCGGGCTTTGGGTTTACAAGATATGCGGGGGTTTACATATAGATAATGTCGGGCCTAATATGTTCTTGTTCCGTTGTTTGAGGGGAGGGCGGCTAGCTAGGGGAGTTAGGTTTAGGGTGCAGCATGCTGCGAGCTTCGCCATTCTACCAGTGTGGTTCAGCTCGTTTGTTTTCTGGCCTTTGGGGTGTGGGGGCTTAGGGTTTAGGGTTTAGGGTTTGGGGTTTAGGGGGTCTAGGGCCTAGGGTTTAGGGTTCATCAGAATCTTGTTCCTAGGATGCTGGCATGCTCGTATTCAAGTATGCTTCAAGCTTGAACAGACAAGAAACGACTGCTACCTTCCTGAAGCCTCCGCAATCCGAACTCCTAAACCAACAAGCTTTGCAACCAACTCTCAAAAAAACATAAAGCCTAAACCCTCAACCCAAAGGCTAAACCCGGAACCCCTGAACCCCTGAACCCCTAAACCCTAAACCCCTTATATCCTCAACACCGAAACCCTGAAACCCTTAACCCTGAACCCACGCCCCGGATCGACCCTGGGCAGCAAAGGATTCTGCAAGTCTTACAATGGATATATGGAGGGTTCAGGGTTTAGGGCTTAGGGTGTGGGGTTATATGGGTAGTTGTCAAAATTATGGTCCCTTTTGGGGTACCCTAAATGATAGGTGCCGTATTATAATAAGGACCCCAAAAGGGACCATAATTTTGACAACCACCCATAAGGCTGATAGGGTTGAGGGGTTTAGGTTGGGGTTTGGGGTTTAAGGTTTAGGGTTCTTGAGGAAATGTCAGCGGCCTGAATAATTAGAATAGGGTTTTGTGGGTTCTTCATTATAGTTAAAGTATAATATACCCCCCAAAAAAACAAAACACATATTCTAATTATTAAGGCCCCTATCTTAGGGGTCGAAAAACGAAGGGCTGTTAAATCCGGATGCGTTTCCTCTCCCTAAACCCTAAACCCAAAACCCTAAACCCTCTAGGGTTTAG